CAAACAGAACAATATACTTATGAATAAATTTAACCAAAGAGGCAAAAGACTTCTACACTGAAAAGCACAATACATCGCTGAAAGAAATTAAAGAAGGCATAAGTCATTGGAAAGACATCACATATTCATGGATCGGAAGACTTAGTATTGTTAAGCTGACAATACTACCAAGGGTATCTACGCATTCAGTGCAAGCCCTACCAAAACCTCAATAGCATCATTTTTGCAGAAATTGAACAATCCATCCAGATATCCATATGGAATCTTAAGGGACTTCAAGTAGGTAAAACAAACAAACAAAAAAACCTTTAATAAGATCAAAGATGGGGGACTCACATTTTCTGGTTTCAAAATTTATTACGAATGTACAATAATCAAAACAATGTGGTACTGGCATAAGGACAGAAATATAGACCAATGGAATAAAATGGAGAGCACTGACAATGTATATATGTTCAACTGATATTCAAAGAAGGCACCAAGGTCATTCAATGTGGGAAAGGACAGCATTTTCAACAAATGGTGCTAGGAAAACTGGACGTCCACATGCAACAGAATGCAGCTGGACTCTTACCTCACACCATACACAAAAATTAACTCAAAAAGGATCAAAGACCCAAATGCAAGAGCTAAAACTATTCAACTCTTAGAAGAAAACAGGAAAAAAGCTTCATGACATTGCATTCAGTAATGGTTTTTTTCTATATGACACCAAGAACACAGGCAATAAAAGAAAACATAGATAAACGAAACTTTGTGAAAATTAAAAAACTTTTGTGTAAAGGATACTATCAAGAAAGCGAAAAGATAACCAATAGAATGAGAGAGAATATTTGCAAATCATATATCTAATGAGGAATTGACAACCAGATATATAAAGAATGCCTACAACTCAACAACAAAAAACACCTGAATTCAAAAATGGGGAAGGACTTCAATAGACATTTCTCCAAAAGAACATACATAAATGGCCAATTATCAAGCACATAAAAAGATGCTCAACATCATTAGTCACTAGGGAAATGCAAATCAAAACCACAATGAGTTACCATTTCACATCCACTGGGATGGCTATTATCAAAAGAAAACAAAACAACACAAAACTTGGAAAATAAGTATTGGGGAGAATGTGGATAAACTGAGAGACTTGAACATTGCTTCTGGGAATGCAAAATGGTGCAGCCACAGTGGAAAACAGTATGGCATAGTTAACATAAACAGAATTACCATGTGATCCAGCAATTCCACTCCTAGACATATGCCCAGAAGTAATAAAAGCAGGGATGCAAACAGACACATGTACACCAGTGTTCACAGTAGCACTATTCACAACAGCCCCAAAGTGGAAACAACCCAAGCACCCATCATCAACAGATGAAAGATAAACAAAACGTGGTACATACATACGATGGAATATTATTCAGCCATGAAAAGGAATGGAATTCTGATACATGCTACAACATTTTGCTCAGTGAAATAAGCCAGACACAAAAGGCCAACTATTGTATGATTCTACTCACATGAGGTACCTAGAATAGGCAGATTCACAGATACAGAAAATAGAATAGAGACATCCAGGGGTTGGGGAGGGATGCATGGGGACTTATTGTTTAATGTGTAGGGGTTTCAATGCCCTCTGCCTCCTGGACAAAGCACATAGAGGGCTGTGAGGGGTCATGAGAAGAGAAAACAAGAGACACAGGATGGCCCACCAAAAGGGGAACACAGATCAGCGGTCTTCCCCACACAGCCCTATTCTCCCTTTCACCAGGGCAGGGGGAGAGGCTGTGAAGGGCATGAATGTGCTGAATCCAGACACTCCTTCAAGGGTGCCCCTTCACCTGTCATCCACTCTGGGAACCCCTCATCTGCAGAGTTGCCTTGCCGAGGTCATGCCCTTCCCGAGGCAGCCACTTGCACTGACGGATGGCCCAGTCATCTGGCCCGACATGAAAGAACCCCAAGGGTGCCGTTCAGCTCCTCAGCTCCCCACGGGTCAGCTGAGGCTGCCAGGCCTGCACGGAAGCTCCACTAAATCCTAGTTCCTCTCGTTCCCTTGCACAAGTGTTGAACTCAAGGCACTCTCTGATGAGCATCCTGCACAGCCTCTGTGCCTGGTGTGGATGGATTGGGAAGCTCAGCTTCTCTCCTCTACACCACCCCTCTTCCTCCATCTGTGCTGCTCACGTGGGAGCTCCCCTGGGGTCTGTCTCCCCATTCTCCTCTCATTGGGCACACCGGCCCAGGGCTCCTGCCTGCCTTCCCCAGTCTCAGGCCTCCTGGGACCTCCTCGGTCCCTTCCCCGTTTTGTTCCAGCTGCTGCTTCCATCCTCCCGCTTCCAATCCCTTCTCTAAGGCAGCCGAGGGCCACTTTGGAAAACACAGATCTGATCCATCTTTCCTCTGAGAGAAGCCTTTCTTTCACTGACCCCGAAATGCCCTTGAGGTGAAGAACACACCTCCTGTGTGGGCCCAGGGACCCACCATCGGCTTATCTCCCTCCGTCTTCCTCCTCCTTTCTCCCCCTCCCTCCTCACACTCGGATCCTCTGGGATCCCCTGAGGGCCTCATTGCTAGGACTTGGCACAGGCCATTCCCCCAGCCTGGAGTTCCCTGGCCCTCAGTGGCCACCAGCCTATACTGCAGGCACATGGGAGGGTTCACTCGTTTTCATGCTGTTCAGTCTACTGAAGGGACAAACGGATCATAGACTACTGAATAAGCTGGGAGCGAACCACTCAAGACCCCCCTGCAGGTGACAGAATGTTTATCCTCCAAGATTCTCAGACACCCACCCAGCCTTGGAGTCTGTGGAATGGGCTTTGCAATCAGACTTTCCAGAGCTTCCATTCTGGCTCCATGCCATCCTGAGGACTCTGGTGGATCATTCGCTGGCTCTGAGTGGCCTCTTTCCCTTGTGTGTAAATAGGGGCAATGATATTTCCCCACAGTTGTGAGGAAGACACAGCGATGAAGCTGCTTTCCTCCCTGACCCTTACCCCATCCAGGGCCACACCTGGCCTCGCCCATCCAATCTGTCTGGAATCCTGTGACCTCACCTTCCAAACAGATCCAGAGTCTGGCCACTCACCATCTCCACTCCTACCCCCTGGTCCACGCCACTCTCATCTCCTCCTGGCTCCCTCAGCAACCCCCTCACTGTTCCCCCGGCAGGCTCTGCCATTGTAGGACCTTCCACAGGGATCCTTTTAGGACGCCATTCAATCACACACCTCCTCAACCCCCTGCCACTCCCTCACCTTCCACTGTGTCAGCACGGCCTTCCCTCACCACCCTCCCTCAGCACTTCCCATCCTCCAGCGCAGTCTTCCCATGGGGCTTTTCCCCATCCAACACACTGCTTCCTCTCTTTTATTTATTTCCTGTCTCTCCACTAAAATGGAGGCTCCGGAGGCAAGGACTTTGTCCGGTTTGTTTCCTGCCTTAACCCCACTGCCCAAAACCATGACTGACATACATCAGGTACTCAGTAATTATTTGTGAGTGAATGAATTGATAAGGGGACGAATGATGAACAGAACTCTTCATCAGATGGGTGGGGGTCCCAGAGAACAGAGAAGCTCGAGAGTACCCCCAGCAGAGGCATCTGACTCGCACAACCCTGCAACCTAGTAAGTGCTCAGTGAAAATTAGTTCACATCTCCTCCAGTGCCCAGAGCCCTCCCCCATCCATCACAGGGCTGGGCTGTGCCCACTCTGGGCCTAACAGCAAAGACTAGGGTTGTGGGCAGGGGCGCTGTGACAGCATGGCAGCTGAGAGGACGCTGTGCACTCACTGCCACTCTCTGGAAAGACTGACCCAAAGAGGCTGACAGCCCCCACAGTGCCCACCATGCCCCAACCCCAAGGCCCAAGAGACGAATCGCCACTGCCCTGGGCTATGCTGAGGACCAACCAGACAAGACCTGCCCAGGGCATCTCAGGACCCCCACTCCACAGTGAGGAGGGACTTCTCTTCCAGGTCCAGGGTGGCTCCCAGCTCCAGGGCTTGTTAGAAGCTGTGCCCATGAAGAACAAGAGGATCAGAGGCCACACAGCCAGGAATGCGGATGAGCACAGCCCAGGAAGATGGAGTCCTGTCACCACCAGCCTCTGGGCTCCTTCCTCCCATCTGAGGAGCCCCCCGTTCCAGGAGATCCCACATCCAAACACCTCCCGACCCTACACCCGGGACTGTTGGGAGGACGACAGGAGATCACTGCAAGAGCTTTATCAACCGGGACGTCCTCAACCATGCTGACAGTCATGCCACTGTGACTACTGAAGAAGTGAAGTTTATTCTCAGCCGCCAGGGGTTGAAACTGGAACCAAGGCACTCCCTCCAAGCCTGAAGACCCCCAGCTTCCTTCTGTGAGGGCCAGAGCTGCCTAAGGCACAGCCCAGCTTTCCCAGGGCCAAGCCACACAGATCAAACCGCTGGGAAAGTGCACACACACTGTCACGGGGGCCCAGGTTGTCGAGGAGAGAAGCAAATCACTCAGAAGCAGCAAAGCCAAGGACCCTCTGAGCAGTGACGCTGTGACGAGGCCCAAGAGACCACACGGGGGTCTCTCTGGGCAGGTAAACACACACGTCATCTGGGGGAAACACCAGACAAACCAAGCAAACCCAAACCCAACCGCGGCCCTCAGGAGCCGGGACCCGTGCCGAGAAGGCGGTTCCACGCCACGGCCCCTCGGCTGTTACGGGCAGGCGCTCCTAGATCCAGGCCCAGGGATGGAGGGCGGGGGAGCCATCCAGAAACCCTCGGCTGGCCGTTCTTCCTTCCCAAATGACACAGCCCCGGGGACAAACGCCTGGGTCATTCCTCTGCCTCAGGACAAGGAGGCCACAGGGCTCTGTTCGTTGGGTCCCCTCCTGACCATCCTGCCTCCCATCTCTCAGAGGCTGGGGCACTTTTGGGCACTCCCTACCAGCAGGACCTCTAAAGACCGAGGCGCCCTGGGGAGCATCCTGGGCCGGGGCAGCTGGTCACTCACACGTCCAAAACGAAGTAGACGTCGAAGACGCCATCGCAGACTGTCAACCTGGTCTTAGCCTTCTTCTGGTGCCCTGCATCTGGTTGGACGTCTCTGCTGCCTGGAACGCGGGACGGGAAACTCTCTGTGCTCTGCAGTGGAGGTGGCGGCAGCAGCAGCAGGAAGAGAACGGGGCCTGGCACCCGGGGGCTACCGCTCCCCATTTTCAAGGCCGCTCCTGAGGCCTCAGTCTCTCCTGGTGCTGGGATGGGATCAGCACCGACAAACCCAGCCAACTCAGGCCACTCCAGGCCACCTCAGGCCTCTGCCTCTGCCTCCGCCGTCGCGCCTCCACCTCTGCTCAGGGTTCGGCCCCTCCCGCCCTCTCCCCAAGGCGCATGCGCCGCCTGCACCTGGTCCCGCCTGCGCGCGGAGGAGGCGAAGCGGCTTTGGGCCGAGGCCCCACAACATCTGCGGAGGTGGAGTGTCCGGTCATCATGATGGACAGCAAGGTTGGCATGGTGACTTTGTGACCTGCAGCTCTGCTCAGAGTGATGCCTGTTGACAACCCCAGGCGGCGGTCATGGGGTCTTTGGAGGGGAAGATGGGGCTCCATTGGTCCGTTATCCCAAACCCTCACAAGTGTGGCTTCAGAACAATACAATAGCATGGAAAAAAAGGGTTTTAATATTGCACTCTGTTGATGTACGTAAGTGTTTCTTAATACAAAATCCCTCCCTCCCAAATAAATAGAGAAAAACCATGGGAGGAAATATACTGGAATGGCAGCCCCGTGGTGATGTAGTGTGATGGAATTCTTGTGTGGGATCTGGCACGGGGCATCCCAGAAGCCCCCACCTGCCAAAGACATCACATCCTCGAACTCACCTCACATGCAGGTCCAGCTGACGGGGGTGGCTGCTGGGAGGGACCCCTGTCAAGGGCCCGGGCCCTTCTCCAACAGGTCTGGGAAATGTGGATTTCACTTTCCCACCTCTGCAGTGCAGGAAACACAGGTGAGCAGGGGTGGCAGGCAGTTGACTGAACCCATGGACAGAACCTGGCAGTGTGGCCTGAACACAGCAGACCCCATGAAGGGCTGCGGCAACACAGCCATACAACTCCAGGCCCAAAGCTTCTCCTTTCCCGCTAGCTCCCTCCGGGTCAGTTTTTCTTGGAATGTGGCCAGTGGTGGTCTGAGCCAGCTCATAGGGGCTTGTGAGGTTTCCAGGAATTTGGTGAGCCAGCTGTTTTAACAGCCATGATTAAAAGCCAAATCATTGAAACTCAAAAACTAAATAAAATATATTAAAAACAGAGGCAATAAATACTCAAAACTCAGCACTTCCTGATTATTTTTCTACACTTTGCTATTGACCATCTATGCTGCAGAGGTTACTGTGGCGATCGGATCTGTCTGGTGGTGGTAGTGCCTGCTGCTGTGCATTTCCTCCCAACTCCACGTCCAGTGACATGACTTCAGGGCCTTGAAAGCAGCCATGATGGAGAACTTACGGCATGCTAAAAACTGGGGCTTGAATCTTGTTTCACAGACCGTCTGGACTTCAGAAAGTGATGGAAGACATGTTACTGTGGATGACGGTGAGAAACGTGCCTCGTCTGCTCCCATTAACACTGTGAGCAGAAGGCCACACTCGAGGGAGCGTTCCTCCAGTAGTCAGACACTGTGCTCCAAAGGAGTCGCCCGAATTACGGACAGACAGTGGACTTTTGACAGCTGTCTCCGTTGTTTCACTCGCGTCTTAACTTCCTTGTAAATGAAAATACCATCCAGCATTCGTGTTGGAACTATGGGCAGAGAGCCGATTGCTAAGCACTGACCAGCACACCCCCCATGTGCCCCACGTGATTTGAGATTCTGCGCACTGGAAATGTCAGAGACTTGTCTGCCTCCAAAGCGCAGGGGGAAAGTAGAAACAGAAAGAGAAGGCAGAGGGAACTGCATAGGCAGATGCAAGGCCATGAAAGCAGTCGGTTAGAACTGAATCAGGACTGTCGCTAAAGGGTGGGTCATGTGGTCTAGCTACAGGAACCCATACCATCTCTCTTAGGGATGATTTTCATTCATTTTTTTCCACCATTACCAATTTCTGCTGGCCCTGGAGTTAAATATATACCATGGAGCCCCCTACTCCACATTCAGTAAGAGAGGAAAATGCCTAGTTGTAATGGGATCTACAGAAGCCTGTATTAGTGATGTGGGGGAAATGTTGCAGGATCAAGGGTGGACAGTCACTAACCAGAGCTGCCTGGGGGGCCTGAGGAATGCCCCCATCGAGGAGGTGACATTAGTTCTGGGTGTTGATGGATGAATAGGAGTTCACCAGGAAGTGATTGTGCAAATGGCACAGGCAAAGTACTAGTGGTTAAGAAGGACTTTGCATATTCCAGCCATGGGGAGAAGGATGAGGAGCAGGAGCTCAGGGCAACACAGAGGCACCCCTAAATGAGACCTTTCTATTCATACTGAGCCAGGCCAGGCCCGCCTATGAATCCAGCCCACTGAGTGAGGCAGGGGAGGGCAAGGGGAGAGGGGCAGAGTCAGAGCCAGCAGTCTGCACAGCTCCTTGCTCTGAGGAGCTTTGAGCACCTGACCCCCATGAACGCCCGTGTCCTCAGGCTCCCCCGGGAGGTGGAGCAGCCCCCCAGCTGGTGCCTGCCCTGTCACAGTGCTGATGGAGGGGTGGAGGGGCCCCCTGTCCACTTGCCTTCCAGAGTCAGATCAGGCAGAGGCAGGGCAAGCCCGGGTCTGATCCCCTATGAAGACACACACAGCATTCCCCCCACACTCCAGGGCCAGAGACCAAACTAAACACAAGGAGACAACCCTTTTCCCATCTGGAAATTATACTCCAGTGCCCTGTCCTTCCAGAGCCTGCAACTGGACCCTGTTGTGAGGACTTCCAGTGAGGCCCAGGGGGCTGCCCACAAAGCAGAAGGAATGGGTTTCCCCTGCACCTGCTCACACACGACACCAGCATGGTGGCCGTGCCAGGGCTCAGGCATGCGGAGTGCCATCCACAGCCTGCCCTGCCCTGCTCACTGTCACCCCAGCCGGCCCTGGAGAGGGACTGGGTGTCTGTTCATCTTTGTGCCCCACTGGGCCTCACGGGCAGCAGGGAGCAGCTCTCAGCAAGGGTTGGCTGTCCCGCACTGAACACCCTCTTTTGCTCCAGGGTCTTAAACCCGCACGTAGAAAGGGGTTGTGTGATCTCTGTGACAACAGGGCACCTGTCAGATGCTGTGGCATGGTCTGCCACCCGGCGTCCAATGCAAACCCGAGTTCCATCTGGAGCTTGCCGGGACTCTGAGGCAGCTCAGTCCCTGTCTTGTCCAAGCGTACTTCTCCATTCCTCCCTTTGATACTGGGACCCACTCCACCCCACACCCACTGTAACCTTCTAATTAATCTTCTTGGCTAAGTTGGCCAGAGTCAGGCTTTGTTGTTAGCATCCAAAGAACGCTGACTCCTATAGATGTGACAGCTCACCTGGCTCAGAGCTCTAGGCCACCTGCTTTCACCTGCAGGACCCCATCAGGGAGGAAAGACGAACCACACAACGCTGCCACCCAGGGGCAGGCTCAGTATTGCCCCCACGCCTGTCAGCCTCCAGGCAGCAGTGGCCCTGCTCACAGAGCACGCAAGGCTGCCTCCACCAGCCAGTTCTGGCCCGGTTGACAACTCTAAGAGGTTTGTGCCCTGATTCACAGCCGTTTTTGTCCCTTGATGCTCAGCATGCTGATTTTTCTCCCAAACCACCAGAAGTGCCAGGACACTTTGAGCACCTGGGGACAGGAGCTCCTGTAGGCACAGGTGTCCACAGGGGTAAAAGCTGGAGCAGTAGACACCTAGGCATGCAGGGTTGGTCTGGGGCTGTGCCTGGCCCCTGCTCCCACACCTGGGGGCAGACTTCTCTCCACCTGGCCTTGGCCCTGGTCCAATTGAGGGGTCTCCCGTGTCTCCACTCACCAGAAGTGCCCACCCTTGGTTCTCCTCATACAGTCATCCAGTTGCGTCTCCTCTGCCCACTTATCCACTGTCCTCTTGTGTCAACCTGCTGGGCACGCACAGGTGGACCAGCCTCCCCTTTGCCCTTGAGGTGCTCATGGCTTGGAGGGGAGACACACAGTGGCCTCATGTGAGGTTGGCACCCAGAAGGGGAGGGTGCCATCAACCTGCTGGAGAGGCATTCATCTCTGCTCTTCCCTAGTCAGCTCCACCAGCGAGGTCTGCAAACTGGGAAAACTGGCTTCAAGCGCCTCCCTCAGCTGGTGAGCGGTACTGCTGGACCACACTCCACTGAGTGTTCCTAGTTTTCATCACTAAAAAGTACTTGTCCCCGGGACCCTGAGGACCCTGAGCAGTGGGCAGCTGAGCCCCCTCCTCACAGGGACCTCCATGGGCTTGTCATGCTTAAACACCACTAGGGCTCACGTCAGCTACTTTCTCTGGCGCTGCCTCCTGCCCCATGGTGAAAGGAAGCACAGGCACCCTGTCCTCACTCTCTCGGTGGCAGGAGTCTGTGACAGGCACTGTGCATGTCACCTCTTCCGTCTTCACTGCACCTGGAGGATCATCACTCTCTTTCACAGATGAGACGGCCCTGGGCTCCCCAGAGCTAAACATCCTGCCTGATGTCCCCTGCAAGTAGGAGGTATGCTGGGACTGAAACCCACAAGGGTGTCCCCAAAGTCTGCTTTGGTTGCACTCCCTGTGTCACCCTCACAGTGGCCCTGCGGTGAGCATCTGTGTGCCACCAAGGGTATCTGAGCCCCTCCTAATCCTTCCAAACTAATTCCTCAAAGGGGATGCCACTGACATGAGAGAATAGTGCTAGCCAGTGCTTCTCGAGGAGGCAGAGGTGGACACCCCAGTCCACTGGGTGACCCTCAGCTGACCAGCCCACCTCTCTCAGCCTCAATTTCCCATCTATAAACTGGGGTTGGGCTAGATCATCTCTACAGTCCTTTTCAGGTCGGCCAGTGGATGACTCCAGTGGGATGAAGCCATTCTTCCCCTTTCTCAGAGTAACTCGTCTACCTGAAGCCCTATTGCTGAGCTTCCATGAGCTCACACAATGACACACAGCCAGATACCCTCACACCCTCACATGCACACACACACTCATACACACGCACACCCCCACATACATTCACACACACACACACCCATCTCTCTCAAGTGCTCCCTCTGTCTCTCTTGCTCAGACGGTTTTCCACATGACAGTTGACATGTCTGGAATCACATGACGTCCTCCCAAGCCTGGGCAGGAGCCTGCCTTGCTCTCCTCTGGGTCCTGCTGCACCCCTGCCTGCCTCTGCAGACAGCCCCACTGAGCTGCCTTCACCACTCAGGCCCCCTTTGCCAAC